TGTTAAGATCGGGAACCCGGGTAGTGTGGAATTTAACCAAACAACGGTATAATGACAATAATAAAGACAATGCAAGTTGATAACAACGACAATTAAAGCATATAAATAAAGAGACACCAATTTAATGTGGTTCGGTCAGTGTGACCTACGTCCACAAGCGGAGAGGAGCAATTTTACTATACTAACAAGAGTACAAAAGAGAGTACAAAATTAGAGTAAACACTCTAATTAATCCCAAATACCCTAAGACAATAATCTCACAAGTTCACTCCAAAGAAAGAGTTCACACAAGTGCTTCCCAACACTAACTCTCATACAAAATACTCTTAATAAAGGAGGAAAGGAAGATATAAGAAATGAAGACTCAAGTCTTGTTGGTGTGTTTAAAATGAACTAATGACCATCCCTTTTATAGGCAAAAAAGTCCTGGCCTCTTAGGCGTAAAAGAAGAGATATAACTTGTGTAAATGATGTCTACTACACAATGCAATATTTTTGGGTCACAAAGAATATTGCCAACAAAGTCTACACTTTGCAAAGATACTTATGTTTATGTGAGATGGGCTCCATTAGCCAAAATATTGGCCATAATTACAAATCTCCACCTTGGCCTAATTTTGGCTGATATAGTAAGTTTGCTCCACCTTCTCCGCAAAAGCTCCAATGGGCATATGTCAAAATTTAATGCCATCAAAATTAGACAAGTTATCTGATACCGAAACTGTAGTAGGGCCTATAATAGTGGATCCCAATAAAGTATACAACGAACCAGATCTGTGTGGTTTCATGATCACAAGAGCCCCTTGAAAATTTTTTAGAACGCCACCTTCACCAGTGAATTTGCACCCAAGGGATTCTAAAGTGCCCAAAGAGATAGATTTTTCTTCAACTCAGAAACATATCTAACGTCGGTGAGAGTTCTCACCACACCATCGTGCATTCTGATACGAATTGTACCTTTGCCAATAACGTTACAAGTAACATTGTTACCCATTTGGACAACTCCACCTTCAACTGAATCATATGTAGAAAATAAGTTTCTGCTAGGACACATGTGATATGAACAACCAAAATCTAAAATTCACTCATTGTCTACTCTGAAACTAGTTTCAGTTGCTAAAAATATAGTTCCCTCAATCTCATCAGTTACTACACTAGCTTCGGCGGTGTCAGTATTTTTGTGCTTATTTTTTATTTCTTTATGCGTTTTTTTATTTTTCATTTTATAGCTTTCAGAGATAATGTGATCTTTCTTATCACAATAACGACACTCTAAATTATTGTATCTAGATATGGAGTCGGATTTGCCCCTACCAAATAAGCCAACATCCACTTGAGTTCCATTAGCTTCGCCAGTAATATCACTATCTATCTGTTCTTTTGATTTTAAGATATATTTAATATCCTTATGAGAGATATTATCCTTTGTATAAAGCATAGTATCTCTTATATGCTTAAAAGATGGGGGTAGAGGACAAAGCAGTAACACGGCTTGATACTCATCTTTAATTTCAACATCTATATTACTCAAATCCATAAGAATGGAATCAAAGGTGTCAAGATGAGAGAGAATAGAGGTACCTTCACTACAACAAATTTGGCCTAAGACCACACTAATTTTAGACAACGTTGGAAAAGTGTTGCCAATAGTGTCTATGGGAACGCTTTAAAAGTGTAGCCTTTATTTTGAGCTTTTGGCCACGGAAGTTTAAGCTATGTTTTTAAAGTGTACTTTCTAAACGTAAAGGCAACGTGTTTTAAGGGTTGCCAAATCATAAAATATTTGGCAACACTTATTCACCTATATACAACGCTTTTAAAGCGTGCTATCTTTTTAATCACAAAAATAACATAACAAGTGTGTTCTAAAATAAAGAAAAAGATTTCATCAAAAATTTCCCTCAATTATTTCTTTCAGTAAATTTTTTCCCTATTTTGAAAGGGCAAAAGAAAGAACCATCGAAGTCTTCACCCTCTCTATAGACCCGTCAAAATCTCCATCTCCACCACTAAGCCGCTTGGTTCCACCGGTACCAAATCCAGCATCCCTGAAATTTTCTTCTTCATTGACCCAACATATGCGTCTAAGAAAGAGAAAATTTCAGCATTCAAAAGGTATAAATTATTTTATTTCTTTACATGTTCCTCTACAACGTTAATCCCTTTAATTCTTCTAGGTTTTTGCCAAAATTTCTCTTTATTAGGCTTTGTGGCTTCGATTGTTTTTTGTATTAGGANTTAGGGTTTTCAAGTGGTAAATCAACTAATTATTCCATGAGTGGGATTTGTTTTTAATTCACATTCCCCTAATTGAAGCCCAATTCACATCACCTAGAAGATTGAAGTACGTTACCCTTCCATGTAATTTTAAGCTTCTTCAAGAAGCAAAAGGGAACCATCAAAATTCAGTTAATTCATAGTCCATTTACTCACCAACTCTTTTTTCTAATTTCTTGCATTTTGTTCTTGGGTTGTATTGTTAAAGGTCACTTGGTTCAGAAAGGTTAGTGGGTTCCTCTTATTTTGCATTTTTTCTCAATTGGGTTTCTTAAAGTTTCTATCTTTTGATGTTCTTTATCTAAATTTGCATCCATGATAATTTGCTTCGCTTATTGCTGCATTGTTTATACAGAAAGTGAGTTTCTTTCTCTTGTTATGTATTTTTCTCAATTGGGTTTCTTAATATTACTCGCAGTTTGTATCAATTGATCATTTGTTTCACTTATGGCTGCGTTGTTTATGCAATCTTCTTTTTTTCCATTAGTTACAGAAAGTGGGTTATACAATTTTTCTCAATTGGGTTTCTTAAAGTTTGTACCTTTTTGAGATTTTGATCCAAATTTGCATCAATTGATTATTTGTTAGTTATCAAAGGAAAAATAGGTGAGATTTCGAGAAAATAAATCGGGCATAAACTTGTTTGATCAACTATTCTTCACTCTCTATAGGAGGAGCAGGGATGGTGCTACAATACAATTATTTAATAAAGTTGTAACTTATGTTGTATGTTTATTTAGGTTTTCTTCTTCAGAGAGTATCAAATTTTAGGCTAGGAGTTGTGTTCTGAGATTGTTCGACTAGTTATCTGCTAATTGAGTATCTTTAATTTACTGAGCCAGGTAAATAAGATGCTCTTATATGGGCATTGAAAGGTTGTCATTGACATTTTGCAGTAAATTTAAACATATTTGATAAACAGATTTAACAAAGGAGTCTTGGACAAAAAACATGAATAATACCTAAAGATAGTACACAATACTAATTTGGAGATGTCTATTTTTGAAATTGTCAATTGGTAATGAAGAGGAGTTATTAGCCCATGTTTTCCTTTACTTCCTTGATTTTTGTCTTCCATGGCGTCTCATCATTGTCTAATTACCGAAATGCAGTGCACTTATATTTCATCTTCTTGTGGACTAGCAAACATTGAGCAAGCATACAGATATTGAGCAGGTATTTCGGATTTCTGAAAAGCATATCTGCATTTTTTGTATTTTTGCACTGTGTTTCAGCATTTCAGTACATCGTTTCTGTGTTTCTGCAGTTTCGGCATTCCTGCACTGCGTTTCTGCATTTTCTGCTCTTTGCACGGCGCTTTCTGCATTTTTTCACAACATTTCGGCATTTTCTGAATTTTTGCAGTGTTTCAGCATTTCTGCACAATGTTTCTACATTTCTGCAATTTTTGCACATTATTTTTGGGTTTCTGCACAGTTTCTGAAATTTCTGCATTTCTGGACAGTATTTTTGCATTTATGCAGAGTTTTTGCATTTTCTGCATTTCTGCACAGCGTTTCGGTAATTTTTGCATTTTTGCACAGTATTTTTGCGTTTTTGCACAGTTTTTCCTCATTTTCTGCATTTATATACAGCGTTTCAGAAATTTCTGTATATCTGGACAGTGTTTTTTGCGTTTCTTCGAAGTTTTTCTGCATTTTCTGCATTTCTGCACAGCGTTTCAGCAATGTTTGCATTTCTGCAGTGTTTTTGCATTTCTGCACAGTTTTACTGCATTTCTGCACAGCGTTTCGGCAATTTCTGCGATTCTGCACAGTGTTTCTGCATTTCCTATGCAGCATTTCGGTATTTCTGCATAGTATTTCTGTATTTTCTGAATAGTGTATTTTATGCACATTATTTCTGGGTTTCTGTGCTGCATTTCAGAAATTTCTACATTTTTGGACAGTATTTTTTGCGTTTCTGCATAGTTTTTCTGCATTTTCTATATTTCTGCATAATATTTCGGCAATTTTTGCGCGTGGCATTGGTAATGTTTATTCGACACTTTGTTAAAAATATGACTTTCATTTCTTTACATCGGATGAAGCATTTAGTGCAGTGTTTGGAAAGGAGCAGCCTGGTCGAATACGATGGTATGGTAGATCAGTGACAACAAGTACTCTGAAAAAAGATGAGGAAATCAGCAAGCTCCAATAAAAGCATAACAATGAAGTCTCTACTTTGAAAGAAGAAATGCAAGAAATGAGAGAAGAAATGTAAGAATTGAGGCAATTGCGTCATTGCTTTAATCTATTGGTGCAAAACAATCCTGGACTAAATGTTCAAGATATACCAGCATTTTTCATTATTATTAATAAGACTAGAGCATGATATGTGCGTTTATTTGCTTATTTGTAGTAACTCTACATTAAAATAAAGGTATTATGAGCTAACCATGTATTAATTTATCTCTAGAGAATTTACTTAACTAGCAATTCCTTGCTTAGATGCTGCCTCACCAAGGGTGAAGATAGAAATAGATATAAAATGCATCACTGAGAAAAGATTTCATCTCCAAGAATTAAAAGCACGTCTTTGTTAATTGTTGTGATTCTCCCTATCCCCACCTCCCTTTTTTTTTTTTAAAATTAATATCTTTTTAATGATCTTATTCATCACCTCTAATTGATTTTTAAAAAAGGCTGACCTCGTAAAATTCTAATTAAAAGAAGGTAATTCTTGAATTCTTTTCTAAATCGTCTTAGTTTCAGCACACAGCATAAGCTGAAATTTATATCATGTTATTAGTTGTTGTTAATCACCAGAACAGCTGCAGAAGTTGTTATGCTTCCCCTAGTACTACCGAAACATTTGCTCAGTGTGCTCAACTTGCTTTAAGCAAACCATAACTCTAATGTGACTAACAAACAGAAAAATGGATATTTCTTTGAGCAATACAGACTACAACATCAGTGCGGACTTTTTCCCTAAGCACCTGGAGCAGAAGTAAATGTCCACATCTCTTATGGCAAGGTTGCGGCTACTCCTTGTTTATTTCTGTTAAGATCGGGAACCCGGGTAGTGTGGAATTTAACCAAACAACGGTATAATGACAATAATAAAGATAATGCAAGTTGATAACAACGACAATTAAAGCATATAAAGAGACACCAATTTAATGTGGTTCAGTCAGTGTGACTTACGTCCACAAGCGGATAGGAGCAATTTTAAAGGAGATTTGTTTGGGTATTCTTTCAACAGATGTACTGGATGAAAATGGGCTAACTAAATGGACATTTTACAGAAATGATAGAAGTAGAATTGGCAAAAGAAAACAATAATTACCCTCATTCCTCCAATCACCAATAGAGCTGAACAGCTAGGATGAAAGACACAAGAGTGGAACTGATTCTCATGGATGCAATCACCGGTGGTCAATGACCAAACTTTAACGGACTCCTCACTTACTGATGCCAGTAGATCACCATTGAGATCCCAACAAAGGTAGTTCACCACTCCAGAATGTCCCTATAAACACATTTACTTTGGGATGACTGGAAGATCCAGAAAATACAAAAGTGCCAGAAACATAAATTGATCGAGTAACAGTCAATTTAATCCACCAAAAGAGGGAAGGTAACGATGAACCTGGAAAGACTGTAGTTGCCTGTCATTTTCGACGTCAAAGATTGAAACCACCTTATCTGATGCGGCAGCCAGCTGATGACCAGTTATGGGCTGGAATCTCACTTGTGCACTGCCTCCTTGCAACAAATAGAAAGAGGAGACAAATTGAAGATAGTTCAATGCAAAATTATCACCTATAGTTAATCGAACGAGGTGCGGCATTTGTCGACGTTGTTAACTTTAAGGCAACGTTTCCTTGGTTGTATATTTGGAGAAATAGAAATAAACTTCATGCATTTGTGCTTTGTTCATACACTTGGAGAAATTTACATATATTTTTTTGTTGTCGTTGGCTGGTTGTCACTACCCAAATTTTCCTCCGTAGGATGTCATGATGATACCTAGTTTTAAAGACTAGGTAAGCCTAACACTTACTGAATTAGAGATGACTCAACCAAAAAGTATTAAATATGAAATAGAAATTTCTTACAATCCCAAAACCGGTAGTACAGTCACAAGCTTTACAGAGTTTACTAGAAAAATCTCTAAATACAACTGTTCTAGAATAGAATCAACAGTGCAGGAAAATATCAGAAAGTGACTCTGAGGCCTGCGAACGGGACAACAGGTATACCTTAAGTCTACACAACAATGTCTAATCTATTAGCAAGATTATCAACAACTCTGAGGTACCTGGATTTGCACAAAAATGTGTAGAATAGTAGCATGAGTACACCACAGCGGTAAGTATCAAGCCTAACCTCGGTAGAGTAGTGACGAGGCGAGGTCAAGACACCGACCGGACATGTAAACCTGTACAAAAGGCAACATAAAACTAACAAGGAAAGAATATCAATGTAAGGCCAATAACGGGAGAAATTACAATTCAAATCAACAATGAGAACACGGATAACAACGAGAAAATAATCAAGTAATTAAGCAACAATATAGTGAGAGTACAAATGACATATGAATGAGTTCAAGTAAGGAATCATATGACAAATCAATCAATTAAATTATTTATGATGCATGTATTTCAACATAAATTATCCGAGATATCACTCCTCGAAATCTCAACTCATGATTCACAACTCCCAATTCTTACACACGTGGCATCTTGTACCCATAGCTTCCGAATCACTTTTGTATGGCAAAATCCTGGTGCTACCATGTGTATAATTTCCGTATCAATATCAACCAAGACGATCAATGAATAATTTAAACACAATTAAATACAATTTTCAAATTAAATACAGCGAAGCATCATGAGTCATTAAGCCAATTTAGGATTTAAATAAGATAAAATAGTGGAGAGGTTGTACAAATAGAAAATCAATTGAGTTTAGTTTAGAAGTATATGAGATCCGAGAAAATATTGTATTTATACAAAATAATACATTCAACCAAGTTTTAACGAGATAAATATGGGATTTATTAAAGTAAAACGAAATAATAATTTTTCACGCAAATTACACGACAATAGGATAATGAGAAGGTTGAGATATCAATTAGAGTAAAAATATAATCACCATTTAATTTAGTAAATCTCCGAATAAGATATGAGTTTTATTTTTGAAAGACACACAAGGGGAACAACTTGAAAATTCTTTCATTTACCTCTGCTATATTCTCAGCAACTTAACATATCACACAGGCTGCATGACTCGCACAAGGAGTCAATATTGTTCCATTTTTAATATATTGACAGTTAAATGATCAAAATACAATGAAGTGATTTAAGAAACCACAGTAACCGTTCTAACATGAAATATATCATGAGAATCACAATCAGAATTAACCTTAATATCACAATAATTTCATATCTGTACATTTGGTGCAGCGTGCAACCCCATCCCATACAATATTAATCATATATGTTGCGGCGTGCAACACGATCTCACACAATAATAATCATATCTGTTGCGGCATGCAACACGATTTCTCACAATAATAAATCATATTTGTTGCGGCGTGCAACCCGATTCCTTACAATAATAAATTATATCTGTTGCGACGTGTAACCCGATCCCTTACAATAATAAATCATATTTGTTGCAGGTGCAACCCGATCCTCAAGCAACACAAATTAGGCAACCAATTTACAACCAACTAGGGTATATCACAAAATCAAAAGAAATAACGAGGCTACACAAAGAAGTCACAACTAATGAAAAAGGCTACACGATAGCTCACGAAATCAAATAGAAAGCAAATGACAATCCATAAGCCAAGGCACAATTTTTGAGAATCAATTGACAATTAAGGCATGTAGCAGGTAAAGCATGAATTCAATGAGTGATTACAATTAACAATTAGCATATAAGGTTGAACTTGACAACAAGGATGGAACATGTGCTAACAATTTCAAGTAAAGCACGAACAAACAATTTTAACAACAAAAGATATAATCATGAAACGATATTTACAATCAATTGTATAAAGGAGCCTAACGGTCTAAACCTGTCAAATACCACATATAGGTCGTGTAACCACTCGTCACCTCGCGTACACGACCTTTACATGACACGAATGACACAATCATCTCAAATCCTAAGGGGTGATTTTCCCCATACAAAGTTAGACAAGATACTTACTTTAACGAAGTTAGGTCGATATTCCAAAATAGCTTTCTTGTACAAAATGACCTTCGAACGGCTCCAATCTTTATTGCCGAATCTGAATTTTAAAGGTTTGCAATTCAACAAACGGCCAAACACCAGCGACCATGACCGAAAACTAGCGATGACGAACTCGACCTCAACTCTCTTTGTGGTGGTTTAAAGTCTGATTGGCGATGGTTCTTGGACTAATTTATAGCTGAGATTAAGCTCTGGTTTTTCATGTTTTTGGAGCTGATTTTACTGTGTTCTTGAGGCTGTTTTGTGGTGTCTTAGATTTGATTTTCGAGACTGTTGTTTTGGACGGTTTTGCAGCTATTTTTGAGGTGGAGATGTGCGTTTTTAAGGTTGAAGAGAGCGGGTATAGTGGCTGGTTTTAGGGCTGTTTTGGGTGGTTTTCGGGGCTGTAATTTTGATGGTTTTGAGGCTGTAAATTGGTGGTTTTGGGGCCTAATTTCAGCAGGTTTTGGGGAGGTTTCTGGGCTGGAATTTGGGGTGTTTGGAGCTGATTTTTGCAGCTATTTTCTGGTCTTTGGTGGTGGTTTAATGGAGGTTTTATGGCTGAACTTTCATGGCCGTTTGGGGCTAGATTTGGGATATTTTTCAGCTCATTTTTTGAGTGATTCTGTGGGTAATATTTACTTGAATTTAAGGATGTTTTGTGACTGTGTAATAGAGGTTTTATGGCTGAATCTCTGATCATTTTTAGAAGTTTCAAGATGTGGTATTAATGAAGGTTTTCAGGCGGGTTTCATGGAGGAAGAGGGTGGCTCTCATGGCTGAACTAAAGATAAGAAGAAGGATTTTTGGGCTTTTGCTGGCAGCCTTTTTGGACCTCTAGCTCTAAGGTCTTTTTTTGCCCTTCCCTGTTTTCCGTATTCTCTTTCTTTTTTATGTTTTTTTTTTCAAGTTTGATCCTGAATCGTTCGAAAACCAAACTCGACCACATATGCAAGTTATAATACACATTACGAAACTGCTCGAGATCTTAAGCCGCTGAACGGAATGCTAATTCTCAAAATGACATGTCGGGTCGTTACATTCTCCACCTCTTAAACAAACGTTCCTCCTCGAACGTGCTAAGAATTATTCTGAGGTTATCAAATTGCTGATTTTACTCTTACACATATACTCGCGGGTGATCCCATGTCTCCCCAATTATCATAAGTCTGGTACTACTATCTCCATTAAGATTATTTCTCATGTCTACCCTTATAGACCTTGGAACCAATTTCTTACACTCCAAACATTTTCAAAAGGTTTGATTTTCATATCGACACACAGTATTAGCCTCAACCGGATGCAGCAACTCGTGCCTACACTCGCACGGTACAACAACATAACTTACCGCAATATGCATATGCCCATAATCACATCTCTGGTCATAATAGTTGTTCATAACCGATTATAGCATCGTCATTTAACTTTATGTTAACAAAAACCTCGTTTCAAACCTTCACAATACTGACAACGAGACATAGGGCATGAAGACCTCATAATTATTTACCTGAATTAACGAGTCACACTTAACGTCACCTAGGCACCAACCTCGTAGGGTAAAACTCAATAATTATAATACGAATATGGCAAATTATGCACAGAGTAACACATATAAGAATGATCAAATAAGCCTAGCACGCGTGACTCCCTATAAGTAATATAGTACAAATTTAATTTCACAAGAGAGAATTTAAACACATAAATTTTTATCACAAGGATCTCATCCTGATTTAACTTCCACCGTGGCACGTAGCCCGATTTAAATATATCAAATCATATTAAAATGTGAGGATTCCATCCTCAGATCTGAATCACAAGTAATATGCATATCATGCCAATCAAAATCTTTCCATTTTCTTCTATAAAATAATTCTCGTTATACAAAATCACAACACACAATGAACTCCCATACCAGTAGGGTATAAAATTCACAAATTGTAATCAATTATCCAGAAATTACATCAAACTTACCATAATGAGTAACGAAAGCCACTTTTAGCCTCACATCTCTTTTTAGTGACTAAAACAGAATGATAGACATGGGTATCTCCATAGAATCTCCCAACAACGGTAAACACATAAGTAGGTTATTGAATTACGAAGCACACCCTAAGTGGAGCATAATAGGAGGACTCGCCTCGATACTCAGAACCGAATCAAGTTAAGGAAATTATTCCTTTTAATAAATCGAGATCGTAACTGTAACGACTCCATATGGTGTAGTGGCCTTAGCCATACCATGAAAAATATATCAATGGGCCGGGCCTCCACCTCTAGGATGCTCTCTACCCATCTGTCCTCCACCCCTAACTGAATATGTAGGTGGAGTAGCAACTGAAATGGAGCCCGTAGCTTGAGTGTTCTGATGAAATCTGTCTCTCTCAAGTCTGGGATAATTTCTCATGATGTGCCTACTACCACCACACTCATAACAATCCTATGCGGGTTCGGTTGCTCATATTGAGCCTGTGCCGGATAACTGAAATAACCATTATAGGAATCTCGTGCCGGTGGTGCATTAAAGAACTTACTGGTGCACCCCGAGTAATTTGATGTGTGGATTGAGCTGATCTATTGATCGAGTCTCTGTCATAATGAGTTATAGTTGCTGAGTAGAATCCACTAAATCCTATAGAACCTCGAGACCCCTTGGTCTCCTCAGTTTCCTTTTCCTCACCCTGAACATGTTCTAACATCTTGGCAATTTCCACCACTTGCTAAAATGAAGTATCAGCTTGTAGCCCCCGAGTCATACAGAATCTAAGATCATAACTGAGCCCTTCAATAAATCTGTAAACTCACTCTCTTGCTGTAGGAATCAAAGTAGGAGTATGACGGGCTAACTCTTTGAATTTGATAGCATATTCTGAAACCGTCATGGTGTCCTGACGCAACCATTCAAACTTTGTGCGCCACGCATTTCGTAGAGTCTGGGGAACAAACTCCCTAAAAAATATTTCTGAAAACGGAGCCCAAGTAGGTGATGTTGCATCGGCTGGTCTGTCATCTTCATAGACTTGCCACAAACATCGGTGGAGAATTGTCCCTCCCTCCAAAGGCCAATTTCTTCCTTTGCTATGCTGACCCAACAACGCCGAGCTCACCCATTTCTTCACATATTCCTCGATTCTTCCTTGGGGTAATACTTTCCTCTATTTGTACACAACGATCCCAAAAGTAAATCTCCGTACAGACAAATCTTGGCACGAACCACATAGCCCATAAGCTCATCAACCACCGTACTTCTGCCGAGGCACCCTATACTGCCGCAACCGATATGCTCACGCTAAGTAAAACTTCTGCAAATTTGAAGTTGTTTCCCTAACTCCTTTGGTACTGAAGTATAGGATTGGTAAGGACGCAGACATACCACAAGTCCCAACATTATCACCTGCAAAATCTCAAGCCTTAAACATGTGCAATATTTTTTTTGGGGAACCTTTCAGTATCACATATATGCATCTTAGGATAGAACTAATATAACACATGACCCCGCAATATGTTCGTCTACAGTGGACTCCCTCACTTGGCGTGATGCCATAGGACACAACGTCCAATGTTCCACAATACTAATCTTCACAGCTCATAGTCATTAACCAGATGCCAGAATCTGCCGCACTCCCACGTAAATCACTGAGTGATCTTTCAATACATATGCGTCTTCAATCGGGACCACATGTTAAGGCGATGTTTAAGCATCCCTGGCTCCCTTGTAGTCCATCCGCAGCATCACAAACCGTCAGCGCACAGCTGATACCGAGTGCGCAATGTTATACACGAGTGGATGTAAATGAATATAAGATATATGCTTCAAGCATGAATCAGTATCGCACGATAAGGAATAAAAGAAGTGAAATTTCCTAATAGTTTCCGTAGCCTCTCGAAGATAAGTACAGACGTCTCCGTACCAATCCGTAAAACTCTACTAAACCTGCTTATGACTTGTAGCACCCGTAAACCTAGAGCTCTGATACCAACTTGTCACGACCCAAATTTCCCTCCGTAGGATGTCTTGATGGCACCTAGTTTTAGGGACTAGGTAAACCTAACACTTACTGAATTAGTGGTGACTCAACCAACAAGTATTAGATATGAAATAGAAATTTCTTACAATTCCAAAATCGGTAGTACAAGTCACAAGCTCTACAGAGTTTACTAGAAAAATCTCTAAATACAACTGTTCTAGAATAGAATCAACAGTGCAAGAAAATATCAGAAGGTGACTCTGAGGCATGCGAATGCGATATCAGGTATATCTTAAGTTTCCACAACAATGTCTAAAAGAGAGTACAAAATTAGAGTAAACACTTTAATGAATTCACAAAAATATAGTCAATTTCAATACCAAGCACACAAGAATTTAAAGAAGATTTGTTGGGTATTCTTTCAACAGTTGTACTGGATGAAAATGAGCTAACTAAATCTACATTTTACAGAAATGATAGAAGTAGAACTGGCAAAAGAAAGAAATAATTACCCTCATTCCTCCAATTACCAATAGAGCTCAATAGCTAGGATGAAAGACACAAGAGTGGAACTGATTCTCATTGGTACTTAGCTCATGGATGCAATCACCGGTGGTCAATGACCAAACGTTAACGGACTCCTCACTTACTGATGCCAGTAGATCACCATTGATATCCCAACAAAGGTAGTTCACCACTCCAGAATGTCCCTATAAACACATTTACTTTGGGATGACTGGAAGATCCAGAAAATACAAAAGTGCCAGAAACATAAATTGATCGAGTAACAGTCAATTTAATCCACCAAAAGAGGGAAGGTAACGATGAACCTGGAAAGACTGTAGTTGCCTGTCATTTTCGACGTCAAAGATTGAAACCACCTTATTTGATGCGCCAGCCAGCTGATGACCAGTTATGGGCTGGAATCTCACTTGTGCACTGCCTCCTTGCTTCAAATAGAAAGAGGAGACAAATTGAAGATAGTTCAATGCAAAATTATCACCTATACTTAATTCGAACGAGGTCGAATATAACCTATACTTATTTATGGCTGAGGGCCAGTGTTACATCCCATGTTTTCGTACGTGAAAGTATGCCATAAGTAAATTGATGAATGCTCGAAAATGAGATTATTTTGAAGTTACAAGTATTATGCTATTTCAAACAAGTGATAAGTAAATTCGTGAAGGTGAGAGGGTAAGCGAATCGAAGAAAATGAGTTTCGTCGAAGGTTGTCATTTTGAGATAAAATACGGTCCGAGCTATAATATCCGGTATTTATAGACTAGTGCCATACAAGGTACCATATGACTATGATAGTAAGGTGTATAAAGTGTGTTAAAAGTAAGTATTATTTTAAGTAATTTGAGATAATTCTTAATTATGTGAGTAATTGATTAATTATTGGATTAGTGGGGGTTTAACAAAGTTTACTAAGGAATTTTTGGGTGATTAATTCAAATCTTTGGATAAAGTTTGATGAACCCATGTGGCAGCAAGTAAAATGAGACTCAAAATCGATTTGTGACTCTTAAAATAGGTTGAAAGGCTGCACATTTAAGAGAACTATGTGACACCAAGTCTTGAAAGGTGGGGTCCATACCACCAAGACTTAAATCCCTTCTCCAATTCACAAATGGAGATGTATTACATCTAAGTTAAAGAGAAAGGCTTCAGCAAGAAGGGAATTTCATTAGCAACGTGAGTTGCTTCAATATTCTATTCAAACGAGATTTCTTAATATTATAGCAATGTGGGATTTGCGATTCTAAGAGAGTACGGCATAATCTTCCTCAAGAATATCATACAGATTTTTTCCTACTTCGATTCGCCGTCATGTGATTTGTCGCAATTGACGTGTGTTAGAGGGATTGTCAAGAGAATCGGCTCAGGTATGTTAAGG